TCTCTGCGTCGGGTGTTGTTTTCTCGTAATTATGTTTACCTATCAGATTATTGATGTCTTGTGAATTGTAGTGTTTTCCTTCAGCATCTTGGGGAGGACATGTTTGTTCTTGTTGACGATTTCTTAGATGAGCAGTCTGATTGTTGCGATGCTATATGGAGTTATATATTAAGAAAATTTGGACTGATTCCTTGTCACGGCGGAGTTTAAATTGAAATTTGGATGACATGTGGTGATTATAGCTTGATCTTAATGGTTTTTAATTTGAGCTGGTGGTAGTAACGGAGGAAAACAACTAGAAGACTTGGTTAAAAGATTTTTGAGGATGGGTGGCTAGAAGAAATGGTCAAACTTTTCAATTTTGTCGGGTGATTAGTTCAATCTGATATACAAAACTTTTCAATCTTCAAAGCTCTAAATGGGGAGAGGAATGAGATCTACATGTTTGCTCCTTTCGTGTTTTTTCCTTTAACCCGGCTACCCATTAACTCAATTGATAGCTAATAGTTGGTACATCAGCGATACACGAGAAAGATACATGGTTTTAAGTTCGTAGTGAGATTCTGATTTGTATATGTAGGGAGGGAGAAGTTTTTACTGTGGGGATTTCGTCGTAAAACAAATTGAGAATAAAAATAAAAACAATAATATCTCGATCAATTTAATCAAGAATAATCTTTTAATTCGGGGATAATGGGTTAGGGCGGAGGAAAAGTAAAGAAATTGAAACTGACCTACTCAGACAAATTTAGTGTTGATTTTTTTTTTTTATAATTATAGAGAAATAATTTATTATTATATGCATTGTTTGATAAAATAAATTAACATATTGAATTTAATTTTTGAAATTTTATTAAAAATAATATTATCTTTTTACGAAAAGAATATTGAAAATTATAGTCAAAAGTAAATGTAAAAAAAATGAAAATGAAATGTAAAAAATAGGAATAGAATAGAATAGAGAGTGGTTAGTAGTAATGGACGTGGGTGGACCCTTGATTTTAACGACTGACGTGATTATTGTTGTCTTCTTTCGGCCACCGGAGCCCAGCTGTCTAACTCTTTTTTAAAAAAAAAAAAAAAAAAAAAAAAAAAATTGGAAATTACAATTTAATATATAATTATTTTAGGCACGGTAAGAATTAGAACTAAAACTTTTTGGTATGACGGACAATATAAATAATTATTAGATCATAATTTGTTTCTTTTAATTGATAGTTGTAAAGTAATCAAATTCAATTATGACAACTATAAACTTATTACTCTTTATTAAATTTAATTTGTAAAAATTTAATATTTATTGCAATTCAATACATAATATTTTTTAATTATTATTTAATGGTTAACATTTTCTATTTGTTTTAAGTGCATGATTTCTGTCCATTGTATAACAAAAAAATATAAAATCATTAGACAATATGTGAATGCATTAAAAGAAAATAGCATATTAATTTAATTAATTAGTTAACTTTATTTTTTGATATATTTTAAAATATTCAATTAATATTTAATTTTTTCAATTAAATAATAAAAGAAATA